CTATTAAACTGTCTTTCTCTCAACCCACACGTTTTTTCTAGCTTTTACACTGTGAGCTGCTGGACTCACTGTCATCTTGTAACCAAATCTCCACAAGGAGGAGATCAGGGAAATCCCTTTCTAGATCATTTTGCCTGTTAGTGTATTCATACTTTGACAGTGGGTGCTGCTGAAAGACTTTGGATGCTGTGGTGACACCAGTGAGCTCAATAAGGACTGGCCAAGGGAAGTCATACAAAGGCACCAGGTGATTTTCATCCAACAATGCATGTTAAACCTTTGTGGGGATGGTGTCATATAGGCTCAGTGTGACTTTAGTCTCCTGTAACAGAATACTGATTGTTTAAAACAAGAATAATCCAAGGCCACTCAGTCAATGAAGCAGAAATCTGCAGAGATATACTGACCTTTAGTTCATCACTTCAGTTTTCTTAAGCAGCTTTATACTGCAAGTTCCATGCAGAGTGAGTATGCAAAAATGTATTTAATTTTTATTAAGAAAGATCTTTGAGAGTAACCTGGAGGGATCGAATTAGAGATAGACTCAGTTCACTCTTCCAGGATAATTCTGTTTACCTTTAAGGCTTCCCCTACATGAGTGAGCACCTCCCTCTATCAATACAAATGTGTGACTCCTACAATGCATCAAACCTAAACCAAATAAGAACATATTGTCTGTAGATCTACACCAGGTCAGTGTAAAAATACATGCTAGCATTCTGGAGCACATTTTGCTTGGTTGCTGAGCCACAGTGAAAAATGGTTAACAAACAGTGAAGAACAATTTTACTTGGCATTTTATTCACTTAACAGAAACATTCACTTATCAGGTATCACTGAAGTGCAATTTACAGAACTTAGCAGCAAATTCACATATGTAAATTTGGATTTATTTTCTTTTCTTGTCTTTTTTGTTTCTCTTTTTTTTTTTACAAATATTACAAATGTACACCCATTAGTACAGTATTGCCATTCACTCATGCGTGTTATGTACAGAATCTTCACTAAAGAATCACTACTGAGCAATTTTTCCTTTGCTACAGGAAATGATGTATGTAGGTTGTGTATGCTTCTGGGATGAGGTCCCATCACACTGGCGCTCCATGTAATGAGAAGAAGTAGATATTTAAGGTCATATTCAACCCTAGTGCAAGCAGGTACAGCTCCATTGCCTTCAGTGAGATAGCTGATGCCCACTTCAGTGGGTACTCCATTTGGTCCCCTGTACTAAATTCCTTCTGGCAGCTGAATCCAGGGTTGCATTTATGTATTTCTAGCCACAAATGATAAATCAATCCCACCACACTTTCTTGATGTCCTTAAAAATAACCAGGCATGGTGCTTTGCCATCACAGGGGCCCTCCCACCCCAGCCTGTGGAGCTATAAGCATCCGTTGAACTGACATCATGCCACGGCTTGAGGAGGATGGATGAGGGCAGGGAGATGTAAGGAAGAGCTGTTGAGGTCTCTTGTGTGCTAGATAAGGACTAACTTGAAGAGGAAAAGCAGAAGACATGCTTCCCCCTGCCCTGTGGATCTCTGCATGAGAAACCCTGTCCTCCTCTCTGGTTTCCCTGTGGTTTCTCTCCCTTAGTGGGAGCAGCCAAAGTCCCTGGGACCACCACTGCCAATGTCACCCACTGCTTCTCCCTCACCTCCAGGCATGGGCCTGACCCTCCTCCTGCCTGCTGCTCCTCTGGGCACACCAGAGGTCTGCACCAGTGACAGTTGTGGCAGAGGACAGGACTGTGTGGAGGTACCTGGAAGCTCCAAAAGGTGTCAAAAGACTCCTGAATGCTAATCAGAAGAGCTGACAAAGTGGTTACCACAAAGTGTTTCCATTATAGAAATGTCTCAGGTTTTTGGTAGGTTCTTTTTTTTATTATTATTATTTTTTAAATCTATTTCTACTCTAAGGATACTTTTTTAAATATTTTTGGTAGTTAATATGGAATGTATTATTTTGCTGAAAAGGTTTCTGGAAGGGGAGAGCTTTGTTTTATCTAATTTAAAAATTCTAGTTTATCACAATTGTTTTTATACAAGACACTATAGATACATCTTGTAGTTTATAATCTAAAAATAAAATCTCATCAAAATACTGTAGCTATTCTATTGTGGGCATCAATAAACAATGTATTTACTGTATATGGCTCTCCAAACATGATAAACCCTATACAAAGAGCATCTATCTTTATTGATAGGAACAGTTTCCCGTGTAAAGGAAATTACATGGAAAAATATGAGCCTTGTGTTGTTTGAAAAGTAACTCAGCTTGACAGTTCTGAGAAAATACCAAGACAATTATCACAAATCAGTAGCAGCATGTTATATACAGATTTAAAGAGAATCACAGGAATAAAAAGAAAACAGTAGTTATATACCCGCAAATCCTGTCATCTAAGAACCCAAAAACTTAGAGAAACGTATAGGTTGGTTTTGCAGTGGGACTATCAAAGCTCAGTTCTTCCATGACTGTATCTTCTGCATTCTGATGAAGTTTGAGACGGTTCAAAGATGAGATTGTATCAGACCCAGACACAGTTATGAAGAAAATATTTAACTGCTGGATGATACTTGTCTCCTAAGTGAAAAACCCCATCTGCTTTACAGGCTGCAGATGAGCATGAATAATAATAACACTTGGCATTTACACAGAGCTAGAATGTGAAAGCTCATACCTTGAGTAAGACCTTACCCAGTTGCATCTGCTGTGCTTACGTCAATTGGACAGCGTGGGGAGGTAAAACTCACTGCAAGAGTGACAAAATCTGGCTCATGCTGTTGCATATGACCAGAGCCTTTTGATCCTGTCAAACTCTTTAGATGTGGAGTGTTTATTATCCCCA